CTACTCCTCCTCAAGAGCTGCGCTCCAATTCGGCGTTACACAGATTTGTAAACGGCTTTCATTTTTTTTTATGTTGTTGATTTGTGGGTGATGGTAAAATCGTTTAAATGGGAGTTTATTATGCATTAGAAGAAGCCGTTTAGCACGCTTACTCGTTCGCTCCTTCGGATGACGTACCGGCTCTTCCACATCCGAGCTAAAATGCAACGCTGCCGCTTTAAATGTCTAGCGATCACCCCTGCCGTGACAAGGTGGTATAGTTTGAGCTGAAATTTTGAAGTTGCCATATACTACAGCAAATTTCTAACCGTCCTTGCGTCCCCTTGTTACATTCGGGCTTTGTCCAGCACTACCAGAAATCGCGGGTGTAGTGGTTCCGCCCCTTGTCAAAAACATAATATCGCAACAGTGCATTTCGACGTTCAGTCCACCGGCGTTGAACCGACGATACCAACATTTGCGAGCGGCTTGAGAGCTGTATGATATCAATCACTAAATATATAATGTACGTATCAACGACTACAGAAAACACTGATATGTTTTGCTGCAAGGTCAACAAAAAATGATAATTTTCCTGTAGTCTTTCACTTGTATAATACTTATTTTAAACGGTTGTATCACTTGACTATAAAGTCGCTCGTGAATATTGGTACCGTCGGATCGACTGTCAGTAAACTTAACGTCGAACAGCTCTGAGTGAGGCCGCTTTTCTCGTGAGGCGCCTCGCTCATTTTAGGAGCATATTGGGCTCCTCGCGAAGTCATTAGCTGCCAGTCTTAAGCTCTGAATATTGGTCGTAATATAATGAGGTGCCTAAGAGCTCCTCGAAGATTATGAGTCCCCGCTCCCGCAGCGGCCGCGTTCGGGAGTGGTCCCGCATGGCATGGTCGCTACCGTCTGAACGCCTCTTCCCCTTCTTTTGGAACGGTGAGTCATGCTTTTGGCCAGGCATAGCGCCCCCTGCAATTAGCTATGTTGTATCCTTTTGACGTGCTTTGTGTGCTTTAGTTTAGCGCAGATGGGAGGCAAAGTGTGGCCCACTGACCGCACGCAAGTCTGCTCATTCGCGGTGTTCGAGAAACGCCTCGTCCCATCGTTGAACAATGGCGATGGTTCGAATCACGGCTCCGATGGCTTGGCTTCTCGCACTGCGTGTGTGTCCCCCAATTTCAATCCTAGGTTAGTTACGATGGCCATCGGGCTCGTGTTTGAAAATGAGCAGCGTGTTTGACCGTCTTCGGTGGCGACATCTGATCAGCTCGAACCAACAGGCGATGCTGACCTCCGCCTAATTGAAATGAAACATCAACTTGTGGGCAATCCCCCTTGTGATGGTTATGCGAATTGACTGTTAGACTCATATGTCAAGGATGGCCGGCCAAAAGAAAGGGACGACAACGTCTTCCAAAGCATGATACCTCGCAGCGTACTGGCTTCTCGGTTGTAAGCTAGCCAGTGTCAACGTTTGCCTGAACTCGTCAGAGCCCCTAGTGGAGAACATGCCGAGCTATCCACTTTGTTGACCAACAAGTTTCAAGCTTAGTTTTCTGGCAAATGCCTTTCCGATAAAACTCGTCCGAGTTCCACCGTCGATAATTTCTCAGATATAGGCACTGCTCTGGTTAGTAACAGCCTAGCTTCCGATTGTGTTGTAGAACACTGGAAGCTCGGTGCGGCGCTGCGTTACCAATTGTAAGAATGTTGCCAGTCTCTTCCTGAACTTGTTAAACCTGTGATGGTGTTTATCAAAGACAAATGCACCCGGGTAAAGAACGTCATCCACTGCACCCAGGAGACCTCGCTTGGCTGCGATAGTCGTTTCATTTATATTCTCGAATGGTGCATCTGAGGCCTCTCCCATCTTGCACCAGACTTTTGTTCCTCATATAGTGCGATCACAGAAGTAAGGACGAGGAAATCGAATGGTGATATTGCCTCTTGCTAAAGAATCATGGGTTGTTTGTTACGCTGGCTTGCATCCCACCCTTTGAAGGTGTATCAATGGCTTTCTTTGAGTTTTGAGCCATTATCGTCCGGTTCACTGGTCTTCACTCAAGAGGTGCTTATCATTCCCTTCTTCCGGTCTCCACTCATATAAAACACAAGCGTTTTGCGACCTCCCCACCTTCATTTGTTGACGATGCTAAGCCGGTGTCCAAGTTGCGTCATCGTCAATTGTGCCATCACATTTTCGCCCAAACTCGTACGTTGTGTGCATAGCTCTGGAGTCAATGGTACCCCATCACGGTGCCGGATCTAAAACTTGTTGGGGGTATGTCTAGCCTATAGCACCTATAGGAACGTCTTACTCAGAATACCCATGGAACGTTAGACGTGAATGTTGGTTATAACGCGATAATGAATATTCCATAGTCCCGGCTTTTCTTTGTCATTGATAAGCCTTAGATTCGTTCTGGGTATTATCGCTTGCTATTTGGTTCAGGATTGTAATGGAAATTGCAGAGAGTGCTGCTGTTGCTTGCAGTCCCGCAATGGCCGTGGCGGCTGGTTCATTCAGTAGTTAATTAGCATAAGTATGAAAACTTTTATTCTTCACAGAACCTGGCATTGCGATGCACTGGGACGCCGAATCGCACACAGGAAGGGTGCCCCCTCACCTCGATACTGCAGTAGTTTTAGCTTGGGGAGCTTCATTTTCTAAATATGAGATGCTTTATCACTGTTGCCGTCGGCTCTTGCATAGCTTGTGGTCGTTGTCGCCCGGTGAAGAATGATATTTCTGCGCGGCTCACCAAGTGCTTAGCGCACTCTGTCATCCCAGTCTGCAATGGCCGCGCAGTCTAGAAAATCAGTATTGCTGATTGATCAGTCGCCTACCCAAAAACCCAATTTAACTTTTTCGCTATTGAGATTATAAAACAAGAAATATAACTTGAAATGTTATTAGCAACCTGAATTCCGGTTTGAAAACCTGTAACGCAGATAGGATTCAATAAGATTTTTTATTCCATAATCCAGATAGCAAAAAGTTACATTGAAATTTGGAGGTGACCTTTAAAGGAAATTCATGTAACTGGTGGAAAATATAGAGCTGTCGTGTTCCCCGTTGATTATAATAGTGTTCTGACTTTCGAACATTCCGCTTTCTCAACATTCAAGTTGTTCTTTGGTTGATTTCTCAAATCCAAAATCTCCGGTTCTGGCACTAAATTGTGGCGTGTCTGAAGCACTATTTCGCTACAGCGTCTACTTTGTACGTGACGGTGAAGACGTTGAAAGGGCGTGCAATAGGCTTCAGAGATAAACGTTTAGCACGCTAACTTGTACGATCTTTCATGCGTTTTCAACCGCCTTCACCATCTACTGCTATGCTAAACTGTCATACAGCCACTTTAAATATGAACTGTGAACTCTGAGGTGTTATCCTGTTAAATACTTAAAACCCCTTATGTGAGAAAAAATGAATACGACAAAATCAAAACAATATATACATATAATACAGTGTTTGATGCTCGAAGTGCAGTATTTCCTTCCGAGTCTCTACAATATTAGTATAAGGGGTGAGTGGACAACCGTTTTAAAAACTCTCGTTGCTATAACGAGCCTCAGCAAAACCCCTAAAGATGAGTGCACTCACCCGTCTGCCTGTATGACCAAAGCGCTGATTAAACGTCTTTGCCTAATGGGGAATATCAGATGTTTTCAGGCGCCGATAAATGGTATATATACCACGGTCCTTCAAGGTCGACACGGGCCTCTTCTCTAAAGAGTATTCCTGAACAAGGCTAGCACGACTATACTTACTTGCGGAGGACGTGAACGTAATTATTAAACATTCGGCATCCCTACTGACGTATTTCAGGCATCTCCGGCAGCTTCAGCTACCACTTAGGGCAATGTCTTTGTAACTATGTAAGAGAGGTGCATATTTACAGTTCTGGTTAAAGAAAAATTAAACTAGCTGCAGTTCGGGAAGATTATAAGCACATTATCGGGAAACACACGCTATCACGGTCAAGGGTCTACGAATTGTGTCAACAGTTCAGCGAAGGACGATAACCGATAACAAATGAAAAGCGTAGGCACTTCCTTCCGAGTGAAAAGTAAAGCAACCAAAACAATGGCAGCGTTACCTTGAGGTACTTAAAACTACTTTGAAACACTGACATAGTTTCGTGATTGTCAGATCGTTCCTATCCTCTGTAGAGTTAAAAGTGCAGAAAACCTCTAACGATCATTGGAACCATATAATATATTGGCTCCCTAGACGTTAGCCATTCAAACCCTTCTAAATATAATGCAGCGTAACTAAAATTATTTTGTATAGCAAAAAAAGAAGAAAAATAAAGCACTTCAATGCCGAACATTTGGTCACTGCCGAATTGCAGCGCTAACGTTAGGGACCAGAGGGAATTCCTTCAGAAGTAAACGTTATGTTGTTTAACATTAAATAATTATTTTTTGCAATTGAATTGCAAAAATACAGCCCCTTTTCGGTAGCTGCCGCCATTTATCTTGATGTATTCTTGGACTTCGTATTCTACCACTTCCCCAATTAAACTTGCCGATTTATTATTTATATTTTGAACCCGATAACGGTCATTTTTAATTGTTGGTATCAAGACACCACCGTTAGCGCTCACTCGCGAAATGATAGTGTTAAAAAATACAAGCTTAATTTTTCCGACTAAAAAATATTTTAGGCGGAACAATTTGAACAAGATTTCCCCTTGTCACCACTCATGTCCTTAGGATGTCGTTAGAGCTTGCAAGAAACTCCCAATTTAAAAGCGATTGGTTTGGCTGAGTTATCAAGCATTCCTGATATTGTGAACACCCGCCGAGCTTACCAACTGTACAGTGACACAAAACAAGAACCAGATCTTGATATTAATTGTTTACATGAGTTCCCGCACTCATCGCAATATGTTCCCAGGTATTTTACATATATCACACGTGGATGCACGTGGTGCCTGCATCGAACTATGATTTCAAAACCTCGTCACAGACGTATCCCAAAATTTTGAATTTTTTAACAGGCTTGGAATGGTGCACGACGGTGAAGCAGCGAAGTATTCCACTCCTGCTTACCAATATGCTGTGTGCGACCCAAAGGCCGGCTACTTAATGTCGCCTTTTGCTTTTGGCGCCAGGGAGGGACAATGGTCTAAGTGTTCCTTGGCTCACTTAAAAAAGTTTGTAAGGTACGATTTTATATTGTTTTCTATTGTTTCATTCTGGCCTCCCATTGACGCTCCATTGTGTCCTAGATTAGAGGCTGTATTGTGTCCTACCGTTGTCCCTTTATTGGTTGCTTTCCGAGCGCTTGCCAGAAAGGGCCGTTTATAACGCAAAATACAGTCATCAGGCTCAAAATAGAAACGTGCGAATGTCATTTACAGATATTGTGGATCACATTCATCCTATTCCTGAACATGACAAGATATATTTCAAATTTCGTTGAAGTGTCCATTTAAACTTCATTCACCCACTTAACCAACCATTCGAAGAGTTTGGGCTATTAGCCTTTGAAATACCTCTTTGGAGAATGGAACCCAAGGCAATGTTTCGGGTCAGGCAGTCTCTTCATCAGTTAGTTTGGAAAGTAGATTTCATTTTATAGGCGGGATGAAATCATTTTTAATGAGTATGGGTCAAGTATCCGAGAGATGGCTGTTGCATCTTAATCGCATTCTAAAGACACTTCTCAAATTTGCATTCCCCTTCATTTAAGGTTCTACCTTGCGGTGAATATTGAGCATTCTGTAAGACGACGATTTTTAGTTAGATGTGAACAAAACATTGATATCTAGAAGCCACTTTGAATACGCCACGGCTGCCGCAAAGCGTTGAGGGGGCTCTGCAGGTTTTCCGCTCACAATAATCCAGGTGCCGGAATTTTTATTCCGGGGGTCCCAGAATTTAATTCACCTGTTCACCAATTTATCCCAAGTGTCAATGAATTTCATCCAATTAGTCAACTGTTTAATCTCAGCGCCATTCAATTAAATGCAAGGCTCACTTACTTTAATTCGTTCATATTTGTGAATTTACTGTTCCTACTAACTCATATCTTACAACCGTTTTAAAAGCCTAAGTTGCTTGCAAGTCATAAACGACTTTTAACTGTATGTGCGCACTGCTTGACTGGTTTTCTCGTGCATTTGGAGGAATTTCTTAGACCATAATACGTAAGTTCGAACAAGCCATGGATATGTCTTGTCGGTTTTAGAATAGTAACGAACATTTACTAAAGGCTTGACATTGAAATCGTGTTGGAAAATTTATATTTCAATTAGGTGTATGGATTTAATGGCATGAACATTTTAATTGCAAAGCAGGATGCTGATCTTGAAATTCGTGCATTCCACACACGAATATGCGAGTTACATGTACTGAGTTTGAAGGGCAGGCACTATGTACTTGAAATGGTTGCGGACATAGGCCACGCATTCAACACGTTGAAGTATCAGCATTGCTTCTTGCGTCGCTGTCTGGAGAACCTGCGAACGGTATTCCTTTAAGGCGGTAGCTTCAGGCCGCGCAAGTAGGGCTGCGCTATGCTCACTACGGTAAGCTCTCCCGCCAGGCTTAAACTTAAAAACATATATTCAAATGGAATGAAGACCGGACTGTGTGGTGGTAAGTGCTTCAAAGAGTGCCGCTGGGACACGGAGACGTCTGCGACTCGTCGGTGTGCGGGAATATGAATATTTTCAATTATAATGACTGAATCCTGGCCTCCCTCGAAACCTTCCTCCAGGAATTCGTTGCAATTTAACCAGGACACCTTTTCCACACTTCACAAGAAAAACCGTCAGCAGATACGCATGCGAACATGTCGATATTTGGCTCTCTGGTACCTGTTGCCTTGACGGCGTCCTTCCTACATTTCGACCTCCTAAACCTTAAGCTATACCACCTATTAAAGTTTGTCTTGTCAGCCTAACATTGAAGCTGAAGCGGGCCGTACACCTGCAGCCACGAAGCGTATATTTTCTTTCACTTTTTACGTCATTGCAATTTCGGTTAATGGGTTGCAGAGAAAGTTGCTTCGCCGTGTAACCCTCCCCATTCAAAAGTCTGTCAATTGTAGATAGTAAAATTATAAAGCGCAAGGTGCAAACACGAACATGAAGTAGAAAGAACATTAAGTAGACGCAATATAGCTGTCCTCTCTACTTCATGTCCGTGTCTGCCCCCTGAGCTCTATATTTTGAGTATGTTGAACAAACTAGCCCACCTTAATATTTTAGCAAATTATAGATAGGCTGATTTGAAAACTTGACCCAGTTGCTTCAAACACTTGTTTGAGTTGCCTAAGCGTGTAGGTTGGCTGTTCATTTACCATAGCTCTCAGATCCTGCACAAAATCAGGGTCGAATGTCTTCTTTAAACCACCTCTGAGTTTCGGTTCATATGTGTAAGTCTTCGCATTTGACCGAGCAGTTTTTACGTTAATTCCTAGTGTGTCACCAGGTTCCCTGATGTTACCGCATCGTCGCCGGCAGTTGAGCAGCCGCGCTTGATCTTGATGGGATACCTTTCGGTAGGATAGTTTAGGAAGGTTTGGATTATAACGTGGTCGAACACGATACTTTGCATTAGACAAACTTATTACCACTTGCGCTAAAAAATACGGGTGAGTTGCATGCAAACCGTCGAACATCTAAAATCGTTTTTATCTGCCTCTGAGAGTTGAGGATTGGCAGCTGCCTGCAACCAAGCGGAAGATGCCAGGTTATCATCTGCAACCGCGGCACGGCGCAAGAATACGGCGAAGTGTTCACGCACAATTTAAAGTAGCAGTAGCCTAGGATGAAGCAACGGCCGGCCTAAACGTACCGCGGAGTTTTCGAAGACGGTCTCCGTAAAATAGTAAACGACGTCGTTGATAAAACCACCGGACAGCCCTTCTTGTGTCCTCTGCAAACACATCACGGTATGCTTGCGCCGTGCAGATTTTGCAGACGATAACCTGGCATCTCCCGCTTGGTTCCAGACGGCGGCAGATCCTCAAACCCCTGAGGCAGATAAAATAGGTTGGAGCGGTTTAACGATTTTCACGCAGTCACCCACATGTGTGCAATAAGTTCGTCTCAAGCAAGGAACCGAGGTCCACATCGGAAGGGTCGAAACTTACCTAAACAAGTCTATTGAAAGGTATCCGATCAAGATTGAACGCAGCTGCTTGACAGCTGGCGACGAGGCGGTAGCATCAAGCAACTTGCTGAAACACTAGGAATTAATGTGAAAAGTTATCGGTGAATTGCGAAGGCTGACAGAGATGAACCGAAACACAGAGGAGGCTCAAAGAAGACATTCGACTCCGATGTTGTGCAAGATATGGCAGCTACACAATGAAGCAACTCAAACAAGAGCTCGAAGCAACTGGATCAGGAACCAAAATCAGCCTATCTGCAATTGGCAAACTTTTGGATGGACACAGTTATACAAAAAAGCAACTTTCTCTGAAGCCCGTTGGCGGAAATTGCTATGATGTAAAACATCCACGAAAATAATACGCTTCGTGGCTACAGGGGTACGGCCCGCTTCGACCTCGATATTACGTTGACGAGGCAACCTTTATGATGTGGCGTAGTCGGAGGCTTGGGTGGCCAAAAAATTGGAAGGACTCCTGCGGAGAATGAAGAAGGATGAAGTGGAAACGACTGCGATATAGAAAACACGAGGACCAGGCAGGTTTTTTTTTTTTTTTTTGTATAGCTTGCATTATGAGAACAACCGATGAAACGGTACGACATTTACTGTTTGGCTAATTTAATTCTTAACCGAGAAAGATCTTCGACATTTTGGTGCCGAAACCCGGGAGTCTGCCTCAAGACATCATCTCCGAGCCCAGACGAAGCTGCAAATTTACCAGGTACTGGTGACTTTCGTTGCTAACCCTAACAGTGGAACTCTGAGACTTTAACGACGGAGGCAAACCATCGGGATTGTAACGCGAACGTTTTTAAGAGGGATTTCTGCCAACCAAGCAGAAGCCAATCGACCCTAACGAATCGCAATGGACAGACTGAAGGCGAAGCGTACCACTCGACGAGCCCAAAACACCGGGATGATAAACGACGCCACCACACTGCTGAACAGCCCTGATATAGAACTGAGCAGGCTCATCGGAATCAAAGAACGCCTGACTACGAGCAACGCGGAGCTTGATAGAATTAACGAGGAGTTAGAGCCGCTGCTATCAGCAGAGGAGTTCGGGGACGAGTACGCCACTGCTGCCGAATACCAAGGCCATGCCTTGATGTTTATTGCCTAGCTCTGCTTCAAGGTTGCGGAACTGGAACCCAGTAGACGCCCCATGGTTCCGGCAACAGTAACGGCAATGCACAATGCGCATGACACAGTCTTCAGGATGAGCGGATCCAGACTACCAAAACTGGACATCACTACCTTCAGTAGGGACGTCACCCAATGGCGGACGTTTTGTGAATAGTATGAAGGAACAATTCACTCGAATCGCACGTTGTCAACGACGGATAAATTTCATTACTTACGCCACTACCTGACTGGACACGGAGCAGCTGCAATAGCAGGACTACCGACCACAGAAGTGCGCTATGTTGACGCCATTCAACTACTAAAGCAACGTTTCGATGATCAAAGGAGGATAGAGCAAGTACATCTGGCGGTCCTTCGAAATCTTCCCCGTGTTCGATCCTCTACAGACACCATTGGTGTGAGAAACTTGTACTACACTACGCACCTGAACATTCGAGCTCTCAACTCATTAAACCTGACGAACGGAAGTTTCGCGGCCATGCCTTGTGATATTCTCATCACATCGGTGCCTCATGACATTGTAGTGCAATGGACCTTTTCCACATACCGACGGCACCAGGCGGTGGCTGCACGAACTAAAAATCGAGGAAGTGACCTACCTGCGCTAACAATCGATACTGGGAGCTACGCTGCCAGTTTCTTCGCTCACTGAGCAGCGACTTTAAAGATAGGCATCCGTGGCGTCCACCCGAACGTTGTGTTTTTCTTTCTGACCACTTTCTTTTTTTTGTGTAACACAATTATATATATGCTGCAATTACGTGTTCTACTCGCTTATAAACAGCCTCCTACCGAATTTCCACGATTTTTCGTTCCGACTTCCGCTGCTTGGCATCGGGCGCTCGCGCGTGCGCAGAACGCTTCTCGGAAAAGGTCCAATACCACAGACAAGTTT